GGATTTTCGACTAACTCTCGCGTTGATAAGCCGTCTGTTTTGTTTACGGTGTTCTTTTGAGTTAGTTTCTTCCCACCCCATCTCTGAGTGTGTTGAATATTTTCGTTAGTTTTTTTTCTCGACTATCACATACGCATATTTGTTGTTAAAGAAAGCGTGCAAAATGGGCCGTGGGCCACGATTTCGCGAGGCTAATCGGAACGCAATTCTTTCTACCGGTCAAAAAAAAAAAGAAGAGTGTTCTCGAAATAAGTAACCGTTATCTGCATTCCCTTTCCTCCCTGAAACCAAAATCGTTGACCCAAAACTCATAGTAATTAATACTACTGATTCATTCTTTCTTGCTTCGCTATTCCTTAGAGTTAAGACTCTTGTAGACATATGTGATGTATTTGTATTACTCCATCAATCCCTAAACCACGTAAAAGGCACAACTTAGCTCCAAAGGTGTCGTAGTAGCCTATAAATTCCAAAAACAAAAATTAAAAAGAATGTCCTACGGGAATATTGTTGCTAACTCTTAATATTTATAACCTACCCAGTAAAGTTGATATTGCCTGGTGTACAGTTTTAGTTCGACAATACATACCCCACCCCATGCGCTGCAAATCACGTCAGCTTCTAGGGCATACAACCAAACATTGTAACCGTTCTCTTAAAGTGTTCCCTTCCTCCCCATAGAGTGCGAACAAGAGTGCGAACGCATTCTTTGCGCCAACTGTTCCCAACAACACCTATCCTCATCCAGAGAATGCACCAAGTTCCTCCAAGGAAAAGAAATTCGCAAAATAAAAATAAGAAATAAAGCTGTCAAAATGCACAAAGAACAACAAACCATTCAAAACTCTCCTATCAGCGCTTACGCTGCCAAAGTATCCCACCAAAATGCTTACAAGAATGATTCTCTATTAACAACCAACAAATATAACAAAATAAAAAGTTCAGATGATACAAAAAATAACAAATATAAAAACCAAATTGAAAATCTTGATCATAAAGAAAACCCTCCACCAATTATCCTCCTCCTAAGGACCTTACCAACACACCTCACTCTTCAGCAACAGAACCCACCTTATTTTTAGAAACAAATAACCAGGAGTATGACTTCTCGCCTTATTCTTCATGTCTTAATGCTTTATATAATTCTTCATACCTCAACCAAACCAACAATACTTTCACCACGGATCAACGACATATCTCCCTCCCGCCCTGCAGGACCACAAACACTTTACGTCTGTCCCTCGCTCTTACGAGTAATCTCCACTTCTCAAATGCATGTCACGTCAGACGATTTTATGTGACTTACACAAACCAAACTCATCCATAAATTAAAATTAAATACACCTTTGTACATACATCTGCTTCTCACAATATCTTATTTTGTAATATGTTTAAAGTTTTCTAAGCCAACTCGCGTCCTGAAAATTAGTCCAAAAGATTTTCAAATAGTTAAAGCTTTCATGGCTCACCGACAATTTAGTATCCGCGTCAATAACGTCCTTTCGGACACCCACATCCAAAACGAGCGTCAAACTCACACTGCTCGCGAATGATGCCATTGTTTATACTAACTTAAAAGACCCATTTCGAATCAGCGCCAACCTTTCAATATGAGCCCCAGTACCAAAATGGTATTAAGAAAATGCTTCAAGAATATAGTCGCAGTAAAAATCTTATGGAGTGGAGACGCTTTGAACGCCGATACACAAATTTCAATACTGCTCGGAATATAGTCATCTACCACACCAGCATCAGTCGCCTACAATCAACCATCTTCACACGCCTAAGGATAGGTGATACTCAATAAACACATCAATACATTCTCATCGGCAGGCAACCACCAAATTGCCCTTTCTTCGGTAACAACTTATCCATCGATCATATTTTCAACAATTGTTTGGCTTTATAGAGTATTAGGAACAATCACTTTATCACTAACCAGTATCGTTAATCATTAACTACATCATCTCATGACAATATTTCAAAGATATATAATTTTCTAGTAGAATGTAAATTACAAAATAGAATATAAGTTTCACTTTAGTTTTTTCTTTATATATTAATATCCGGAGCCGATGACCACTGTTTTTTGTACTCCTTTATGTAATTAGGTTTAATATTTGTATCCCTAATAAATAATAGTAATAATAATTTTGCGCTTGCATAAGCTCATCGTCGCTTTCAACAAGCCTTAAAATATAATCAAATATACATTCGTTTGTTGATCTGATATTTTTCAAAAACTAAGGAAAAACAAATTTTCTCACATTTTATGAGTTTGTAAAAAAACCAGAACTTAAATTGAGTGCGATGTAAAGTTTGTCACGAGACAGCATATCAATGACAATAAAACAAATTGCGAAAATTTTAAAAAAAAATTTTAAAGGATTCAAGCAGGTGTGAGTATAGCTGGCGTATTCGATGAAAAGTTAGTAGTAAACGAGAGAGGTAAAGAAATAGTAAATAAGATGAAGCATATAAAATAATATACAATATAATATTGTATATTGAAAAAAAAAAAACGTTTAAAACGGTAAAATAAAGAAAATATCAAATGTATCAGATGGAATTAAAGAACGCCTTAAAATAATGAACAATAAAATTAATACTGTTTACTTGCATATTTCCAAACTCATTTCGTTTGGTTGTTAACTTAAGGGTTCATATGTAAACATGTGAGGCCAGCCAATCTGACACTGTAATGACGATAATAAAACTGACCGCCCCACAAGTTGTTGATGGTCATTGGTGCAAGTATATATTTGTATCTCTGACTGTATTTCCATTGAATGTATATCTAGCGAATATGTGGCTAATCATTATAAATATATTTTAAGATATGAGAATATACATAAATAAGCGATCCAATATTAGTTCCTTGTCTCTTTGTTCCTCATGAAAGCATTACGCCCTACAAAATGTTTGAATATAATTTCTCTTCAAAAGAAAGATGATTACAAATTTTCCTTATTATCAGTAATAAGAGTATTAAGGAACTCATAACCTTTTCGTCGATTATGGAGCAACCTGCGATAGCACGAAAAGGAGCTGCCGATATTCCCGCAAAACTTATACGGCTGAGTAAGCTGACGTCAAGATCGGGTAGGACCACTCCGAGACGTTCGATTTCCAACGAGGTTTAGATAGTCTAACGAGAAAGTCCAATCTTCTAATAGAGTGGACAGCTGCTGGCGTACCACGATGAAATCGACATCGTTGGGCTCAACATCCACACCATGAGTTTGGCTTTCTCCGAACTCTATAACGAAGCGAATCATATGGGTCTGATATTTCACCATCAGATTGCATTTCAAGTTTTGGCATCATCACAAATTTTCACAAACTACACCAGATGTCCGTTTCAACAAGAGAAGTAAAATAGACTTTACGTAATAAAATTATTGAGGTTTTTATTTTGATGGCATATCACTTAACTGAATATATAGTTTTTAACTGCCTTTCTTAACTTTTTTTTATTGCGCACTTATTTAAATGATTAAATGAAATATTANTATACATGCATATTTATCTGCGTAAGCTTACGAAATTGTCAAATAAAACGTAAAGTACAAATCACGCCTTCTACATGTGATTTGTACGCGTTTTATTTACTATTTCAACTCACAAGGGCATTAACTGGAAGTAAACTCTTAATGATGCGATTATATCACGCCTAAAGTGCTGCCTTAAGAACAGTTTTTCTCACACTTTGCTTTGACTTCTTTGTCGTTCGCCAAACAGGAAGCGGAATAGAAAATTAGCTTATGAAGTGGAGATACGAAAGCATCGAAATGTTCAAATTTAGCAAAAGAGTAAAAATATATGAAAAGAGCTTTGATGAATTCGCCGTTGGCTGGTATGACATTTTTTGACTACTCTCTTTGATGTCTGAACAAATTTAATTTGTGTAACTTCTTCACACTTTACTTATGTATTCATATGTTTACATTATGTATATTTAGAATATATACATATATAAACATTTGTTTTGTGCTAACTCTGAAACTACCCAGCAGATTATGCCGATAATTTTTTTGTTTGTTTCTAAGAATCACAGAAGTTTGTACGAAAAAAAATCGTTTAACTCTTTATATTTGATATTCTTATTTACGGAAAGTGGACCGAGCCATTTGGAAAAAAAAAAATGTAATATATACGTGTATATGAGTATATATGGTCACGCGGCCGCGGTAGCCGAGTGGCTAGAATTGCGTACTGCCATTCGGAAGGCTCGGGTTTAAGTCCCTGTGCGATCAACATCCAAAAGTTATAGAAAATTAATTTAAATAAAAAATTAAGCTACATTTTCTAATTGCGGTCGCCCCTCGGCAAGGTATGTCTACCTCTGTCGGAAATGTAATAAAGCTCCTCATAAAAAAACACCAGCCGTTCGGAGATGGCTTAGTATAAACTGTAGGTCCCTCCATTTGTTGGAAAAACATCAAAACGCAAAACCACGAATTGGAAGAGGAGCTCGGTGAAAAATTGCTTCAGCGGTGCCAAAGCGCCAATTATATATTATATATATACGATTACGTAAAATTTTTCAAAATTGCTTACTTATGCTCCTTTATGGTAAAGTGATCTCGAACAGCGGACAAAATACAAAACCCAGGACAATTTGTGGCCGGGTCTGCTAGTTATATATATATTCTGAAATTTGTATTTTTTATATGCGGCGGCAAAAATTATATACTAATAACTTTTCACAGTCGACGGGCAATTTCCAGCCCTAATGTAGTTCTAGCATGACACGAAAGCTCCTTATAAAAATTCATCGGCAGTTCAGAGGGGGCATAAAAATAATTGTATGTCCATCCATTCGTTGAAAACACATCAATACGCGCACCACAAATCAGAGGAGGGGCTCGGCCGAAAATCAATAAATAATAAGTACGAAAGTTTTATATGAACATATGTAAGTAATAAAATCTTTTGTTGGTGCAAGATGACTACAAAGTTACACGTCGCTGCTCGGCTCATCCGTTGTATTTTTTGTATAAATCTTAAAAGTTATAATATTATTCACTTCCATAAGATTCTTTAAAACAGTTTTTGTTGTCTCTATCAATTATTCATACGTCTTATTTCAACAGACTTACAACCACAACAATACGCATTGGGACAAAATAAGTAAACCAGAATCGGAACTATAATGAAACATACTGACAATGTAGCACCAATAATAACCCAGAGCTTGGTTTTGTCCCATGCGGTTTTGTTTTTTGAAGAATCATCATTTATTTTATATTCTTCATATACACTTTCCTCTTCCACTAAATGAACAGGCACCATATCGAACGATCTGTAATCTAAAATGTATTTTGAGGCGACAAACTGCAAAAGATTAGTTTAAATTTTTATCTAAATTGTGCAAATGAAAAACATGTTTTAAAACTAGCCTGTAATAATAGGATTGTTCCAAGTAACAGTAAAACATGCCTTATCAATGACATTAATTCTTTATTATTATATTTTTGTTGCAAACGTTCAAACGGTGTCTTCTGTTGATTTCACGAAAGAAATTTTTATATTGTTTTGTTTTTCTTTTTTTTTATGTCGTCTTAAGTGTTAGAAATGAAAAGTTCACTTCAAACTTAATTCGACGAAGGTGTCAGTATGTTTCTTTCAGCACAGTGGCTGTAAAAAGTTTTAATGTTAGTGTAGAAATTATATGAATTCTCTTCAAAATTAATTTAAAACAATTTTAGAACCCTCATTTTTTTGCCGAAAATAGCATAAATTAGCAAGGGGGAATAAGAAAAATTTCAAGAGATTAGTTTCGCTACTAGCTTATAAAGTTAAATTAATCAAACTCACTTTAATTATAGTAAAAAACTTGCCAGAGACGGTACGTAAAACTAAAACAATATCAGGCGTCGTGAAGCATCTTGTCGGAACGCAATACAGAGATCATCAAGCGAAGCTATAAGAACAAGTTAGTGATGTGGAGAATAAACTGCGTGACCACGTCACTCAAGGGAAACGGAGATTATTGCTGAATTAGTTGCCGTTGTCCAAAGTGTTGAAGTAAACCTAGGTTTGTCCATTCTTTGGCACTCACGCAAGACAAACTTTCAAAAAAGTTTGAACGCATTTTCTCGAAACCATGTTTACCGATCTAACATCAAGCTCCGGGCTTGATCTATTTGTCCGATTTTTTTTTTGTTTAAAAACTGTTTCAAAATATATAGTTTTTTTGTAAGTCTTGAACCTAAGACTAGCATTAATAATTAATTGTTTTTATTTTTTTAACGTTATTGAAGTTGTTGGGCATAAGATAATGAATTTCACGAAAAATCATTTTGAATGATGAGGCCTATTTCCAGCTCGATAGCGAAGTCAATGTGTAAAACAGTNTGCAACGTTATCCACTCGGCTAATGCTCCAACCTGATTGGAAAACTGATTTGACCCATTTGACTTATTTACTATTTGCAAATGTAATACTTATTTTATTGGTTTTGTAGCATGATCGGGGAAATAAAGATAAACAAATATAAACAATTATTGGTGATTTGAAAACTCATTCTTATTCATATTTTCATAAAAGTATATTCGTTTGATTGTTTTTATTTTATGAGCACTACATCATGTCGTGCAATAGCAATATTAATGGATCATCTGCACAGAGGCAGAAATGTTGGCAGCCGCTAAAAAGCTAATCCCTGTACGCATAACATTGACTCGATTACGTTTTTTTTCTAAATAAAAACTCGCAATAACCGCCATCTCCATGTAGAGACATCGAAAAATACTGGTTTGTCTGTGATCAGTCAGTTGGTTGATCGACCGGTGGCCGTACACAACCTTAGATTAAAGCAATTCAATGTGTCTAGCCAGGCAACTTAAGTCTGGTGTGATTGAGGTAAATCTCTGTTGCTGATGTACTGACATACATTTGTATTTATACTATATTTACTACACCATTCTTCTTGTATTTCAAAGTATTCTTGTGTGCGCTTATTTACGATATTCTTGCGCGTGCATGCTAGCCAATGGACATAGCCTGAAACGATGTAACCGATGGCTACGCTGCATGCAAGCAACAGATGCCTAGTGCACAAGTTTGGTCTATTGATTCAAAACGATTAAGATGAGTAGAAAAACCCACACGCCTGGCAGTTGCAATGAATGAAAGGTTGGTGAAGTTAAGAATTTAAAAAAAAAAAACTTATGCAAGGAATAGTTGAAGTTCTTTACTCTTCTAAATAACATATCAAATTATGAATTCTACAAATATTTTGTTAATAATAACGAAACCTTTAATACTTTTTTAACCAATTTTATATTGGAAAATACATATTAGATAATTCTGTAACGCAGAAATCTGAGTTTTTCAATTTTAGTACATTTATTTAATTAATTGGAGCTTTTTACTCGCTGAAGCGATTTCCGGCCGAGCTTCCACTTCAAGTTGTGGCATTTTCTATATGCTTTTTCATCAAATGCAGAGAACAGCATTTCGTAGCAACAGCCGCCTTCATACATCTGATTGATTTTTAAAAAGATAAGTCCGATCGCCACTTCTCAGAAGAAAGAGTATTCTTTATATCAATAAAAGCAAAGTCTTACCTGTGCACAAAATTTCATGTCTATCAAATAATTTAAAAATGACTTAGGTATTATTGAATAGATCGGTCACAGGTCCACTTCCCGGAACACACGCTCCATGATTTAGGTCTCTATGATCAGTCGTATAGACGATCCATCATTTATTCAGGACAAAGATATACAGATTTTATCTACAAGAATGTAGTTTGAGAAAGTGAATGCTAAAGCTATAAAATTTTAAAAGGGAACGAAACTATTCAATTTGGTTGCAGTGGTCATAGATTTTCTAAAAGCATAGTTATATTATTTTTAATTATTTATTTTAAATATGTAGGAGAGGTACACGGAGTGACAACTCGAAACGGTCGCACTTACTACTTCTACCATAATACTAACTTAAGACCACCATAGAGCACAACTCTATAGGAAATAGAATTTGGGAAATACTAACAGGACGAATAAAAGAGACGCTTACCAGACAGAAGACTAACAAGGCAGTTTCAGTAAAGACACATCTAATATAAAATAATCAACAAGTGTGCTGTTATTTTCCCTACGTACAAGTGTATGAAATGATATATGTATTAACTTTGACACGAGTTTTGTATGTATATATATACCAGAAGGCAAAAACATCTACCATACAAAGTTTATCCCAACATGATCAGAATGATTAGTAGCCATTCCCCAATTGTACACAAACTGAGGTACTAGTATTTTTGATATATTTCAAGCCTGATACACACATGCACTGGTATGTTCAAACGATCATGTGTCGGAACCGACCATATTGAATTCTTATATCATATACATATACACCCGATTTTTCAAACTTGAGATTCGCATCATGTGTATGCCAAAAAATCACATAAGAAAAAGAAATGGATCAGTCCCTGTCTCACTTCCCGAAACGAGCGAGCCTTTCTAAATACCATTCAAACAATGGTGCAAAATATCAAGTCGGTCGTAACTTTTTTGATAAACAAATGTTTTTGATTTCCCACAAAATAAAAATAATTTAATAAATTTTCATATTAAAATTTGCCTTATTCGACGATACGCTTTCCATACAAATATCTAGGTATTTTTGTACGTTCTGTAAATTGTTAAAAATTGACTATACAATTAAAACATGCCAACTTTCAGCAACCAATGCCAATGAAGAAAAAAAGTAAAATATAAATTGAAACTGCCAGCAATATTCGGACTCCCGTAAGATCAAGTTAAGTTAATTCCGCTGCTGCCAGTGCCAGTGAAAATATTTATAAACAATAGCATGTGCAATGGCCAAGATTATTAAAATGCTTTCGATGGCATTGAAAATATGTTATTATTTTTGCATTGCCAGAATGCAGCAACTGTGGAAATAATGAAAGCGAAAATGAGAACTGCTAGAAAAAGTGGGGCATCGCCACACTTGACTTGTGCTTGCGCTCTTTATACAGAAATATATACCGGAAACTAACTAAATTTTCAATAACTCTGTCATGAAATTAGAATGCAGGTATAATTGTAATACCTCCGTTGGCGGGTAAACTATGGTAGTGCTGTCAATTAAATATGAATAGAAAAATAAATTGATTTCACTTAAGGAAATTTGTGGTAATTATAAATATATAATTGATGGCAAGTAAGCTTTCTCAGTGCTGAGAATATTTAACAGGATTACCGGCATGCAAGTTGGAAATAATAATTTTAGAGCTCACAAGTATGTTTAGGAAAACATAAATATTAGAGCTGACGATAAGATTTAATAATCTCATTTAAGAACGGCCAAGTAGGTTTTGAAAAAGTAAACGAACGCTACAACTTTTCTTCAAAATCGGCACCAGTTTCAGCGATCACCTCATTAATAGAGTGATACCTGAATACCGCTGCGCATTTTATTTTGTGGTCAGTAAACAGCCAGTGGTCGCTGGGAGTCAAAACAAGTGGTTGTGCCGTGAATTTAGAAGGAATTCGTCTTACTTGTATTATGGTTGACCTGCAAACGGTTGTACTGATCAAAGAAAATTTATTTTTTTTTTCATATGCAATCCGATTTTTATGCATTCTGGCGCCTTAAACGGCACCCCATTTTAAACAAAGCTTAATCGTAATCGAATGTGTATACGAGGGTATTGACAAAAGTTCGGTAAGCTGGACTGAAAAAAACAAAAAACTCTTCATAAGCGCTATTGATTTCAATGCATTTCTTAAGGCTATATATCCACTTCTGAAAGAGTCTTCAAAATCTTGCTTTTAGGCTTATCAAGTTTAGTTATAACCGCATTAATTATGTCCTCTTTGCTATTAAAGACCTCTAAACTTTTTGGAAATAACCAGAAATCACAAGGTTATATATCCGGGAAATATGGTGCTGGACGTATTTCTTCTATCCCAGACACGCAAATAAATTACTCGTTATTTTAGCAGTGTGGAATGGCGTATTGTGATGATGTAAAAAGAACCGCCGTAAAGCCTATTTCTTCTTGCTTTCCAACACATTTTCGAAAACTTTTAGTAAGCGCTCTTCGGTGTATTGTTCTGCAGTTACCACTTGACTCTTTTCCAGGGGAATAGCAGCGACTATTTTAGACCAGGTGAAATAAACTGACACCATTACCTTTGCTGTTTGGTTTTAATCGTAAAGACTTTACTAAAGTTGCTAGACTGATCATTTTCGAATTTATTTAGGATTAAGCAAAATGCACTCTACCCTTTTTTGAGCCTCATTTCGTGTATCCCAGACGATTACTTAATATGCACGGACACAGCCAAGCCATTCAAGCCTTATTTATTAGCTATCATTTTGTGTGTCTTCCTCTAAGCCCAAAGACAGTCACATGGTGGATTTCTGTTTGCGTGGGTGGTTGAATTTTTAGATTTAACAAAAAGTCACCAACTGACCGTTAACCTACTCGTATGAACTAATTTCCACCAGAATTGTGTTAATAGGATTTTTTAGTAAACTTTAGAAAAATCCTCTTCATTTAGTTTG